CTTATGTACTTTTTTTTTTGCCCTATAATAGCCCATAGTGGATCACCTCGCATCGACATTTTGAAGGCCATGATACTTGACCGTGCCCAGGCGAAGACTGGTCTTGTGATTTGGTAGTCAAGGTTCCATCTCATGCAGGGCGACAACCACCTGCCCTTGGAGAAGCTTGTCAGCGAGGTGGTCACGCAGGGAGACATTCGATTCGAGTGGAGCGAGAAAGATGCAACGAAAGTTGCTGTTCTGCCCCAGCAAGAAGGGTTTATTTTCAGGTTCAGGGTGATAAACTGTTGTTACAACCCAGTTCTGCGCCCTCTAAGTAGCTAAATGTGGCGCTGAGTAGCAGGTATCTTTCTGTTTCAAATACTCTGAACCACCTGAACCCTAAACCCTCAAGTCCTCAACTCCCCAAACTCTGAGCCCTTCATCCCAAGGTCTGCACCCTAAACCCTAAACGCTAAAATCCCGAAATTCTATGCCCTAAACGCTAAAAGCCCTAAACTATATTCCCTTAACCCTAAAATCCCTAAACTCCTCAAACCAACCCTAAATATCTCTAAACCCTGAAATCCCTACCTGTGACTCCACTTACCTACACTTTAGCAGTAGTTACCCCCGAATTAGTAGGTAAAACCCCGAAAGCTGTGGGTAAATGGAGCCACAGGTAGACCCTACACCCAAAGCTTGTGGCCCAAGTAAAGCCAGGCCGTTCTCGGAACGTCACCGCCCGAGGCACCTGGCCGATGCACAACAGATACGTGCCGGGCTTCCGTGCTGCAGATAGGCTTTAGAATTTAGGATGTAGGGGCTAGGACTTAGTTATCTTAGGATTTAGGGTTTAGAGAAACTGGGTTGGCCTTTTTGGAGTATCTAAATATTTATCCCTTATTAATGTCATAAGGGCCCTATATGAGCCATAGTCTAAACTCCTTAAAGGGGGGTTATATAGGGGAGTATATAGGGAACTACTATAGGGGTTATTAAGGGGGATACTAGGAGTTTAGACTATGGCTTATATACCTAATATTCTTCAAAGGGCTCCGAAGTCCAACCAAAGAGACGATTTGGGATTCAGGGGTTTAGGGTTTAGGGTTTAGGGTTTTGGGGGGGTTCTCAACATGATCCCTCAATCAAGGGTTCCAGGGTTGTAACCCGAAGGTCGTACCCCTAAAAGGTTTCCCCAATATGGCCTTAGTAGAGCCCTTTCCCTTAAAAAACATCGCGAAACCCAGGGGTGCGACCCTATAGGGGTACAAGCCCGAAACCCTTGACGCAAGAGGCTAGGGTTTAGGGGTTTAGAGGTTTAACCTTGGAGGTTTAGGGTTCAGGGTCTTTGGGGTTTAGGGATTAGGGTTTGGGGTTCCGGGATACCTTATAGGGGTATGTAGGGCCTTCTCGGGGGTGTCGAAACTATGGTCCCTTTTTGAGTGCCCCGAAAATGAGGGGCCGGTTTATACCCGAACAGGGACCACGGTTTTCTCAACTTACCATGTAGATGTAGAGTTCCGGGTGGAGGGATGAGGGCTGCTTTTCACGCGTGGGTTTCCTGAACGGCTTCCCCCTAGACAGGAAATCCACAGGAGTATATGAAATTCTTAGCAAGTTGTTGAGAAGCTGCTGAGCGTAGGCATAGGGAGCTCAGAAATATCAATCCGCTCCCCTTTACTTGCAGCAAAGGTATAGGTCCAGGTATCAACTACGTCCTAGGTTTCTAAGTTTCAAACCACGGGGCCCTCGTATGGGCCCCTGACATCCCCTGACTAGGTTAGTACGGCTTGATATGGCGTCTGAAAAAGGTGCGCAGGATCACTGAGGTCCCGTCGTTCCAATTAGAAGGTTCGGGTTGTCATGAGAGGTTTAGACTATAGCTTACATAATTCTAGAATCTTCAAGGGGATCTCTAGAAGACAGCTGCCGATGTCTGCTTGAGATTGCAATTTTAGACGGCCAGTCCGAAGACGACACCGCCCCTAAAGCGCCAAGCCTTAATCCAACTAATTTCCCAAAACAGTGCAGAGAGAAAGTACACAAAAGTCATAACAACACTACCATCATTCATAGTAGTACTAAAAATTTGTATAGCAATACTCAAAGACAAGGTGTGGACGCTCTTCCACTTCATGTCCCTCGCCGAGCGGCACGAAGTGGCAGGTGCGCTGTCGGCAGAGGCGCGCGATTTAGGGTTTAGGGGTTTGCCAAATTTTTGGGATACTTTTTGCTGGTCCCTACGAGACGGAATATACTGGTTTGGGGTCTATATTTGGGTTTCCCCTCATTTCTCAAGGAAAGTATCAAATGGTGATGGGTTTATGGGCTGGGCGGGTTCGGACGATCTCACAACCTTGGCTTCATTTCAGGTTCGGAAATGGATATAAATGGCCAACATAAACGAGGGTTGGGATCAAAGGCGAGCTTTTGTATCCCTGGGCATCTCAATCTACAGATAAGAACTCATACATGAGGTTGTTTCGATGCCAAGGGGAAGGGACTTGAGACTGAAGGCTGGGGCTTCAGTGTTATGGTAATTCTTATGTATTCTTTGTTGGCTTTGTTTTTTTTTCTCTCCGAATTTCCTTGTGATGTCCTCATATTTTCCTAACCCTTATGATTCTTGGGGTCCTAACACACTTCCTTGCCTGCGGTAGCCGAAGCACCACAGTGGCTCCCGGAAGTACTGCAAGTCCTAGGCTGAAGGATGTCAGGTGGTGCATGGTTCCTGCATCTAAGGTACTTGCATCCGACATAGAGTCAGGTACAATTTTCACTATTCGCACATGCTAAGCTACTCAGGCACCAGCACTGCAGGCAATTTTCCAAAACTTAGCAAAAGGGCCTGGCAGGAGCTCGTCGAGAGCATCACGGCCTTCATCACGCACTACTTCCGCTGCGAGCACTGCCGGAAGCATGCGCTGGAGCAGCTAGGCGTGGAGCCGCGTCTTCATCAGGTTTCGGGTTTAGGGCTTGGATATAGTAGCTTTTAGCTCTTGTAATAGCTGCACATATGTACATTACATATGTATATATGCTGAACACTCAACAAGGATTTTGACGTCATCGTGTTTAATAGCTTCTTAGCAGTAACAACAAGTCATTGGGGTGGGTAAGGATGGTTAAAGATAATCAGCTTAGCAATACCAGCACAAGGACTTGGCTTTTGCGTTTGGGGAGCGACCCCTGAAGCATCTCCTGCTGTGGACCTCCTGTGCAACGCACAAACTCTATACCCTAAACCGCGCGCACATGCGACACTAATGCGGACTGCATCCAAAAGTTCCAACCATAGGTTGTGTTTAGAGTTTAGGGTGCACACACGCACCTGGACTATGTCAGATTCACGGAACTTTTCGCGTGCAACGTATGCTGATTGAGGATTCCCCCCCAGATTCCATCATTGGTACTCTAGTCTAAACTCCTTAATGGGGGTTATACAGGGGACTATTTAAACATTTAAATTTAGGGAACTACTATGGGGGCTATTGATGATAAGTGGAAGACTCGGAGTTTGCACTATATATAGTTCGTTTGGCTCCAGACAGTAGCGTCCTGAAAGCAATTTATAGTTGTTGCTTATCTACTCCCAATCCTAGAAAGGATCGAAACCCGGTTGGGGGGTTCCAGGGCCGCTAAAGCTAGGGAATGCCCATGTTTGGGTTGGGCGGGTGCTATATACTTGGAGTGTCATGGTACTTAGTAACCATTTATAACTGGGCTTATAACCTTACTTATAACCCCGCTAAATGGGCTTATAGGGGTTCCCCCAATTATAAGTAGGGCTATAATCCCAGTTACAAGTGGTTACTAAGTCCCATGGGCCTCCAAGTACACGATTAGGCTTTAGGGTTGAGGGTTTAGGTTTTGGGCTTGGCGGATACGATACGACAGGTAGAGTTTAGTAAGGTCATGCAGGATGTTTAGGATCAACAATAGTACAACAGAACGGGGCCCTGAAGCTCAGCATGAACAGCAACAGTCCTGCAGGCGCGGGCGCGTATGGTCGAGATGAGCTCATTGCTAAGGGAGCAGATGGGATTCCGGCCACTTGGCGGGCATTGGAGTTGATCCTCGGATTCAACCCTTTTACCTAAACTCCCTGTCCTTTAAGAAAGGAGAGCGAGAGGAACGCCACTGACAGAGTGTTTTTCGTGATTTGGTGACAAAGCATTCCTGTTCATTCCACATGGCAGTGACCCTAGCTCAACTGCCTAACTTTGATCCTTAAATTTACGGCCATCGCCTCGGACTAAATTTACACTGCAAACAGGAGGACACGTGTAAACCTTGGGCATGCCAAAAGGCACATAGGCAATCCAGTCCCCCTAGCCCTAGCCAGTCGTCAACTTCCCCGCCCCCAGCAATAGATATTCCACGATAATCATGGTGCCGTTTTACGTGTGCTTCGGTCTTCGGATAAAGACGGTTAAGAAACACAAGTTAGCGGCAATATTCGCACCTGCCATTGAGCTACAGTACAGTCAATAGCAAGCTTACCAAGGGACCATAACCACATGAGCTACTGTCAGGATTAGGCTTGCCATATATAAGTGTAGGGTTCAAGGTTTAGTGTTTCCAAGGGTCCATTGAGCGTGGATGTAGGGGTCCCTTTGATCGTTTAGTATAGTCCCAAACATATTCGCAGATTGTCCAAGGCCTGGTATATGGCAGAGTGCTCGGGATCTGGCTGAGAGGTTTGAACCGTGTAGTTGTTTCCATTTTCTTTTCCATTATCCTAATGTAACCCCAATATATACCTATGATCCCTGTATAAGCCCAATATATTCCTTATAATCCCTATATAGTGAACCCTTCATATTTCTTACACCTCACGAACCAACTCTTTGGAGGCTCCCTCCCCAGTGCGCGCATGATCCATCTTCGATACATGTGTATAGGAGGTGTGTGTGTGTGTATGTATGTACGCCGTTAGGCCGCACCGAAACCTCTCCCATATGTTATCATAGTAGTTTCCATTTTCCCTCTCTTTCTGAGCTTCACTAAGCTGCTTAGCTGCTAAGCTTGCCTTGCCGTGACTGCCCTCACACAATGATATCATATTACAGTATACTATGGTATGCTATAGTATGTTCTAGTGCATTTTGGTGTATTATGGTATATTATGGTATATTATGGCTGACTTCCCTTCACAACCCGGAAGCGCCAGGGAGCTGTGGCAGCTAGGTTCTTCGCATCCTAGACAAGCTATAAGAGGTACATGTTCAAACTTTAGACAACACAAGCCTCAACCAATCTAGCATATCTACGTTGTTTCCAGTTACCCTGCGAACATAACTTATGCACGACGCATTTTGCATACCCATACTCGTCCTAATCCTGAGCCACTTGAACAATCTCAGATTTATCTCTGGCGGTTCCACAACGCGGTCTCCGTGCGGATTGCTGCAGAGGGGAACTGCCCAGGCAAGTGTATGCTACAAGCTTTGTTGGCGCCGCGTTAGTTTGGAGGAATACCTGTACGGCTTGCTCGAGACTCGATGTGTAACCCAGGCCCCTGATGAATAAACCCCCTCCCCTTAATAGGGATTATAATAGGGATCCTCATATTTAGGCTCTTAAAAGGAACGGGTTTATTAAGCATGGGTCTACATTAGGATTCAAGGTTGCATCACGGGGGAGGCCAAGATTTGGGGAGTTTTGGCTGTGAGGGTTTCAGATCCACAGTTCTGGGTTCAGAGGCGAATTGAGATAATGGAAAAGAAAATGGAAACTACTATATAGTATATCAGGGTTATATAGGGATAATGGAAAAGAAAATGGAAACTATTATATAGTATATTAGGGTTATAGAGGGATAATGGAAAAGAAAATGGAAACTATTGTATAGTATGTTAGGGTTATAGAGGGATAATGGAAAAGAAAATGGAAACTACTATATAGTATATTAGGGTTATATAGG